TTGATTGACATTAATGGTGTTGTAAATCCGGATGTTGTTAACGCTTTATGCTGAGTGTAGTGTAGTGTAGTATATTTTAGTGTAGAGCAGCGCAGTGCAGTGTAGTGCGGTATACCTCCACACTGATTTGAGATTGAAGAAGGAAGGTGTGTCTTGCTGTCTTTCCGATGCTGTCAGATTCTGATATCGTCATCTGTGGCTGTGTCGATGCTTGTATTTTGAAGGATGCTGCCTTCCATGTAGGTGGTGTGTAGGAGTGTAGTTATGTAGGTGGGAAGGTAAATAGGTAGGTGTGTAGTTAGTTAGGTAGATGTGTATTTATGTAGGTAGATATGTATCTAGGTGGGTAGGTAGGTAGGCAGGTAGGCAGCTACGTGTGTTGGAGTGTAGGCAGATATGTAGGTGTGTGTTTAGGTAGGTAGGTAGGTAGTTGATAGAGACAAAGTCGTTTAGATTTCTCCCGTTGGTGGTAATTGGTGCTTGTTTGTGTTGTTGTTGCTGTTGTTGGTTGTTGGTTAGGTATCTTCATCACCTTTGTCTTCTCTACGTTCACCTGAAGGAGGTCTCGTCTTCATTCGCTGCTCTGCCCTGCCACGAGATGCCACGCCACGCCACGCTTCACATCACATCACTTCACCTCACCTCCCCTCGCCTCGTCTTACCTCTCCTGCCAACTTGTTGGTTTTCACCTGTACATCTTCCAGTTTGTGTGACATAAGACATGAGACATAAATCATCACTGGCTTTGGCGGTTGTTGTGGTGGCGGCGGTGGTGGTGGTCTATTCAAGAGTTTTTTGAGTTATCAGTCCATCATTTTCCTTCTTTCTCCTCTTTCGTGACTAGGTTCCCTTCACCACCTTTCATTAGTTTCATCTACTTTAATCTCTTCAGACATAGTAATCTGGTTATTTGATATAATATTGTCAGGTCTCTGTCTCTCCTACCACCCAGCAGCCTGTTCTGCTTCACCTAACAATGTGTCGTACAAGTGTCTTTTGTCTTCATACACTCTTCTTCACTTCTTTGTCCAGTGTAGTGTTGTATAGGTTCGAGTCAATTCCTCTCTTCCTTGGTCATCCCTACATCGCACTGCATTGGCTCATCCTCTCCTTCACCACCACCATCTTCGTTTACCTCCTCTATCACCTTCCATGTGTCCATCGAGATCCATTCCTTGTTTAGCATCTACTTCTTCCTTCCTAAAAAGGTTGTTCAGGTTCAGGTTGTTCAGGTTTGAATTGGACATACAATGAGAAGATGGTTTGAGGATATCACGCGTGAGGCTAGATCCGGCTCTGGAGTGGATGCCAAATGGGAAACGACAAGTTGGGCGTCCGTGTCGAGGGTGACATGGAGGAGATGGTGTGAGGAAGAAATGAGAGCCTGTGTGCAGTCATGGAGCCAGGTTGAAAAGATTGCAGAAAAGTGAGTGGAATGGAGACGTGCAACCTAAGCCCTATGTTCGACTAGGAACCCAAGGGACAAATAACAATAATAATAATAACGATGGGATGTTAGAACCAACAACACTGAAACTACACGCGTCACACAAGAAGTGGATATCATGACTCGATGGTCTAGTGGATAACACTCTGGCTTTCAAAGCAATCTTTACCGAGTTAGAGTCTAAGTGGAGGACAAACTTGCTCTCTGGAAGGCCAAGAACGATCAATTTGGTTCATTCAACGACGGGATAACGCAAGTAACAACGTACTAATATATGAAGCCTAATGTCTATCAATTCTGAAAACATTACACTTCAGCAGACTTTATGAAGAAGTAAGGTAACTGAATACATGAAGTATCTTTTAGTTTTTATACGTCGTAAAAATTACTTCACAACATATTAGGATATATCCGAGTACCTGACTGGAATGATAACGTAGAAATTCGCATAATTTTTAGAGATGTCCGGTTATAACAGAGAATAGGGAATGAGACTCTGGTGATACTTCTTGAGACGAACATTATTACCAAAGAAAATCTTGATTCACTAAGAGCAAATTGATCTCGATTCCTAGATCTTTATCGTTTACCCAAAGTACAATATTACAGCAGTCCTTCACAACTCCAACGTCAATATATAGATCACCAAAACACACACACACACACACACACATGCTTACACTATAACACACATTTGAATGCATGAACTGTCTTGATCATATAAACGTATAAAAATGAAATTATCGTTAAAAAGCCAGGTGGAGGTCAAGTGGAAAATAATTATCTTCCCAAAAAATCATTTTTACAGTTACACATTCATAAATACGTTGAGCGTTCCAAAAACGCGTCCCGCTTAAGGATACCACCTAATCAATAATAATAATCACATAATTCTAAACAATACTTGGTAAAATTTGGAATTCTCGACAACAAGAATAATTATTACATGTCCTTTGGGTTTCTAGGCGAACATTTCGCTCTTTTCTGCAGTCTAACCAACCTGGCTCCATGAAGGAACATAGGTTTCATTTCTTCCTCACATTATCTCCTCCATGTCACCCTCAGACACACAATTCACCGTCTCAAATTTGACTTTTACTCGATGGGCTCATCTGGTCTATTCAAGAGCTATCTTGAGTTATCAGTCCATCATTTTCCTTCTTTCTCCTCTTTCGTGACTAGGTTCCCTTCACCACCTTTCATTAGTTTCATCTACTTTGATCTCTTCAGACATAGTAATCTGGTTATTTGATACAATATTGTCAGGTCTCTGTCTCTCCTACCACCCAGCAGCCTGTTCTGCTTCACCTAACAATGTGTCGTACAAGTGTCTTCTGTCTTTGTACACTCTTCTTCACTTCTTTGTCCAGTGTAGTGTTGTATAGGTTCGAGTCAATTCCTCTCTTCCTTGGTCATCCCTACATCGCACTGCATTGGCTCATCCTCTCCTTCACCACCACCATCTTCGGTTACCTCCTATATCACCTTCCATGTGTCCATCGAGATCCATTCCTTGTTTCGCCTCTGCTTCTTCCTTCCTAAAAAGCTTGTTCAGGTTCCTTTTCACACAGCTTTCAAAGAGTTCTAGTGTCCTTCACACAGGTTTATTCAGCGATGTTGCTTAATGTCTCCAATCTCGTCCTGATGACTGGCTGACATGAAAGATATCCTTTGTAGTTTCGTCTACCAGTTTCCGTTCTGGGTGTTCAACCCGAACTATGGTCGTCTATCACCAACTTCTCTCAAGGCTTTCAACTTGATCTTGAAGTAAGATTCCTTGCACTAGATAGTGGTTGGTCTGAACCTACATCCACTCCCCTTCTTCATCTGATCTTGTATCTAGTAGTCTGGCTGCATCTTCACTTTCTTCACATTGAGATGAAGTCGATCTGATTTCTAATGTAGTGTCTCCCAATGTCTGGTCAAATCAAATGCATGTGGCTTTGTCAATATCCTTGTGTCTGTACACACTGCATCACCTCCAATCACCAAATCACTGAATGCGAAAAACTCTGCAGACAGTTCACCATTCTCATTCATCATTTCACCGAGTGCTTCTCGACCCATGATTGGTTCCCTTCCTTTGTTGTCCACTCCCAGTTTGGTATTCATGTCACCTCACCCATCAGAAGTTTGATGTCTCCAACTGGAGTGGGGTCTTGTCCAGTGCTGATTGCAGTTGTCTGTAGAATTCATCATTCTTCTCTTCATATGCGTCTGCATTATTTGTAGGTGTGTAGAGTAGTGTAGCGTAGCACTGCACTGCACGATCGTGACTTCCCTTCATTTTCACTTGAACCTTGCTGTCATGATCGTGATGCTGATGGTGGAGGAGATTGTTTCCTACTGTATATGACAGCCTTGAATGCTGTTGAAGGCGACATGATGATAGCCACTTCAAAAGTCAGTGCGCTCTTGCTTATCATCTAGTTGACAGTATAGAAGCAGATTATTGACTGTGAAGTTGACATTTTGGAGATTCCACTTCCATTCCTAGCACATCCATGCTATAACTTCTCATGTGTTTGGCAATCTGGACAGCCATGCCAGCCGGCTTCAAACATACTGCTGACATTCCATGTACCCACATTTACTTTCGTTTTCATCGAGAGAAGGGAAGACACATCGGCCGACAGGCTTCACGAAGGCTTTCACCAAACGGCGTCATTTCGTCTCTCCGATTCCAGTGGGGAATGAGTTTGTTTTTATGTTTTATATTTTCTTCGTGCTTTGAAGTTTGTGTAGCGGTTGAATTGGTTTTCTGGGGTAGGATTGCTAGTCGTATGCCCAATCTCTCTTTTTATCCGGGCTTAGTACCGTCTACTAACTAGTGAACTAGTCACCTAGGCTATGTTATGCATAAGTTATGCCTTCTTTGTGTGATAACACTGTAGATAGAGATCTTGAATTTCGTTTTCAAAGTGTCGCCATTACTATTATTAGCATCCATGTCACCACTATTATTCATATTTTTCTTAGCATTGTTAAAAATCGTTTGGCCAATTTGGAAGAGTTATTACTAATGCTTAAGGTGATCTTGTGTATCAAACTTCTTGTCTCAGATCTTCTGTCATACTGTCACTTTTATTTCATCTTGTTATTCAAGGAGTCTACTTAGTGAAATGGTGTAAAATGATTTGAAATCTAGGTGAAAATTTGAGTAAGCTTTATTATTATTGATGCTACTATTCAAGTTCCCACCCTCTTTCAGTTGACTCTGGATTTCAAAATAGCTCGATTTCCTTCATCACTTTATATATGAGTAAGCTGAATTGCATCCACCATCGAATTTCTGTTTGTAAGGGACCCGTCTCTGCTTTCCAATGTCATTATTGTGAATGTTTCCACAACTGTCTATCTCAAACTATCCATAAGTATGTCTTGCATGATAGGAGATATTGGTTATCTGATGGTTATATATATATATATATATATATATATATATATATATATATATATATATATTCAAAAACTATATGAAGTCGCCACATGCCAAGTAGTTCACAATGCGAAGCTCAGTGATGCCTTTGAAGTGAAGTGAAGACAGAAGTAAGACAAGGCTGTCTACTATCACCCATAATATTCCTGATTGTAGTCAATTGGATCATGCAACAGACAGCGAGGAGTGAGAAGAGGAAGATACACCGGCTTGAAAGCCGAAAAGAAGCTAGAAGATTTAGATTTCACCGGTGACTTATGTCTAATGTCACACAAACTCGAAGATGTACAGGTGAAAACTAACAAGTTGACAGAAGAGGCAGGGCAGGGCAGCGAAGACAGGGCTCCAAATGAACGTAGAGAAGACAGAGGTGATAATGATACCCAACCAACGCCATCAACAGAAACAACAAGCACCAATCACCGTGAACGGAAGAAACTTAAAGGAAGTAGCCTCTTTCACTCACCAACCTATCTAGGCAGCACCATTTCAACTACAGGTGGCACAAGCACAGACGATGACGTGGAAGTCAGTCAGTCAGGATCGGAAAGACAGCAAGACATGCTTTCATTAACCTGAAACCAGTGGGGAGATCTAATGCACTACACTTAGCACACAGCGTTAACGAGATCCAGATTTTCAACATTAACGTCAAGCCAGTGCTTCTTTATGGCTCAGAGACTTGGTGTGTTACAAAAGGCATTTCTAACAAACTACAGACATTCATCAACAGCTGCCGCCTACACTCACTCAGTGCTGAAGATCAGATGGCCAGATTAATAAAAATAATCAAGGAGAAACTGTGGTCTGGCAACGAACCAACGAAGCAAGAACCTATCGCTCAACAAATATGCAGAAGAATAATGTGGAGATAGACTGTATTGGGCCTGCACTGAGAAGACTGATTGGGGACATCACGCGCCAGGTCAGGCACTCAAGTGGGACCCAGATGGGAAAAGACGAGTTGGGCTTCGGAATCGAGGGTGACATGTAGGAGATGGTGGGAGGAAGAAATGAGAGCTTGTGGACAGTCGTGGAGGCAGGTTCAAAGGACTGCAGAGAACAGAGTGCACTAGAGACGTGCTACTGAGTCCCTATGTTCCATTAGGAACTCAAGGGACAAATAATAATGATCATATATATATATAAACTTCCGGCACAGCTGTTTTTCTAGACTATTTTCTTAAATTGGTTGGCTCTTAGGTTTGGAATGTAAGCACATGGTCATTATTGAGCTAACTTCTACTTGTCTTCAGAGCTATGTCATTTGGTAGATTAGTGTACAGAGGAATAAATTGACAACAGAATATATTTTATTCGAATCCACATCAAAAATATAAGCAACTGGTATGTCTCAGCAAGTGGTCCGGATATCTCAAAGATTTCATTACCCTTATCAAGAAGAAGATTGGAGAAGTAAAACTATATAAAGGATGTCTCAAAGTTTTGAAGTTACTTTCTTATGACTATGTACAATAAATGTTGTCTGAAACGTAAACATTACTGCTTCACTGCCAAACATATCCAATAAGTTAACTGCAATTAAATTGCTATCTGTTAAAGTACTCTGGCTTTACAAATATACCATTATATACGGAAACTTAGATAATATATATTTATTAGGGTTAAAAAACATTATCACCGACGATTTTCGTGATTGTGGTCGACTTGATCATGCGACCGACAAATGGGAGGAGCGAGGAGACGGGCATACGCTGGTTGGACTGGTGAAAAGATACGAGAAAATTTACATTTCGTCAATGATGATTTATGTCTGATGTCTTATGTCACACAAACTGGAAGATGTAGATGTGAAAACCAACAAGTTGAAAGGAGAGGCAAGACGAGGCGAGGCGGGGTGAGGCGAGGTGAGGCGAGGCGAGGTGGGGCGTGGTGGGGTGGGGCAGGGCAGGCAGGGCAGAGCAGACCAGAGCAGCGAAGGAAGACGCGACTTCCTTCAGGTGAACGCATAGAAGACAGAGGAGATGAAGATAAAAAAACAACAAGAAGCCAAAATCACCACCAACGAGAGAAATCTAATGCGAAGTTGTCTCTGTCACCTACCTAACTACCTACATACCTACATAAACACCTACCTACCTACCACCCCGCGACTACCTACATACCTACACACCTACACACCGACCAAAGTGGGAGGTAGCATCATTCAAAATACAAGCATCGACACAGCCACAGATGAGGATATCACAATCAGACAGCATCGGAAAGAAAGCAAAACACACCTTCCTTCCTTCTTCAATCTCAAATCAGTGTGGAGGTATACCGCACTACACTACACTACACTGCATTGCCCTGCACTACACTACACTCAGCATAAAGCGTGAACAACATCCCGACTCCCAACACCATCAATGTCAATCAACTCATTGCTCGCATCTGTGGTTGACAGACTTGATGCATCACGAAAAGCATTTCGATGAAACTACTGACATTGATGAACAGCTGCCACACACAAACACACACACATTCACACTCACTCGATACTGAAGATGGAGATGAGATGGATGTTGAGAATAATAAGAATAATCGAGGAGTAACTGTGGTCTGGTAATGAAGCATTGAGGTAACAACCTATTATCATTATCAAGTGGATATGTGGAAGAATAAAATGGAGAAGGATTGGATTGTGCATACACTGAGACGACCGACCATTCGGAGACATCATGTGTCAGGTGAGTCTTTTGTGTGGAAGGCGAATGGGAAAGAATGAGTTGAGTGTCCGAGGCGAGGCGATGGTTATATGGAGGAGATATTGTGAGGAAGGAATGGAAGCTTATTGGGAGTGATGGAATCAGGTTGAGTAGACTTGAGAGTGGAGAGTGAAATGGAGACGTGCTGCTGAAGCTCGATGTTTAACTAGGAACCCAGGAGATTAATAATAATATTTACTATTAACTCTCGTACAGAAACGTTAAAGTGTTTCGACTCAGTGAAACGTTATATTTTTAACAGACATATACGTGATATATGATAAACCTACTTCATCTCTTTTCAGCTATAAAAACATTGTGAAACTGGAAGGAATCAATCCATGTCTGTGTGCATTTAGGCTGGTATTCGAGTGTTTCAACATTCACAGAATATTTATTACTATCATTCACTTGGTTTTGGCTAGAAGAGGAATCCAATATGCGTGTTCGGTTCCATTTTGTGACTTTTCAGCTGAATGCTCCAGCATCCAAGTCACTGGTTTTTTCCATTCAAACTTGAACCTCGTACTCATTTATTTAAATGTCAACGCGTTATCCATCACAAGTATGTCAATAAATAGTATTAACTAGCACTGGTCGTAATATGAGGTGGCTATTGTGTCTGAGTGGCGTGGACGACAACTCTTCAGCTTTTGAAGTATGAGTGTCAGTGGGAACAACACCATTCACTGGGATGCATTTAAACCTGAGTGATGAGTGTGAGATGGGACGAAACGCGCGTCCTGAATTCCTCTACTTATTATTTATTATTATTATTATTATTTTTCCCTTGGGTTCCTAGTGGAACATAGGGATTCAGTAACACGTCTCCAGTGCACTCTGTTCTCTGCAAACTTTTCAATCTGGTTCCACGACTGCACACAACCTCTCATTTCTTCATCACAACATCCATCTCCTCCATGTTACCCTTGACACGGACGCCCAACTCGTCGATTTCCATCTGCGTTCCACTCGAGCAACTGGCCTGGTGTGTGGTGTCCCCAATCGGCCTTCTCAGTGTATGTCCAGTACAGTCTATCTCCACTTCCTTCCAGTGCATATTTGTAGATCGATAGATTTTTGGTTGGTTCCTTCCCAGAGAAACTTAAAGGAAGTAGCCTCTTTCACTTATCTAGGCAGCATCGTTTCAACTAAAGGCGGTGGTGGCGGTACAGACGAGGACGTCAAAGCTAGCCAGGATCTGGAAAGCAAGACAGACGTTCATTAGCCTAAAACCAGTGTGGAGATCTACTGCACTGCACTCAGCATGTGGAACAACATTCGGAATTTCAACACCAGCTTCAAGTCAGAGCTTCTGTATGGCTCAGAGACTTGGCGCGTTAAGAAAGGGATCTTCAACAAACTACAGACATTCATCAACAACTGCCTACACTCGTTACTGAATTCCTCTACTAGCCAAAACCAAATATACTATTATTTGACAGGTTCATTGCATCTTACAAGATAAATGAAGAGGAGAACTAAATCAGAAGACATTCATCAGAGTAAGCACAGGCTGAGAGATTAGTTATCGTCCAGTATGATGTTTAACTTCGTTTGTGTGTTTTTATGGTAGATTTAGAGTATGATTTTCATATAGGCTAGTGTAGTAAGACGTTAGCATACTAACGCCTTTGGATGATATAAAGGATATAGTAAGTTACAAGATAACGTCTATTATGAAACGGTTTGCTATCACAACAATATGATGTGAAACATAGTCCATGTACTTTCCGTATACCAAAATACATATCAACCCAACCAACTTATGGAGAACTGTGTATCTGATCGTTACACTTCCTCTGACTTTTAACAAGATAGATAATACTTTTCCTCCTGTAAGCTTATTTCATTGTTTAAATTTAATTCTCTTTTCTTTCCTGTAAATATTCAAACGTCAAATTGGAGTAAATGACAATAGAAGTTTTATTAGCTTCTATGTTGTTAACAAAACAAAATCTTGAAGACACCATGATAATAATATCTACTTGTGAAAAACAAAAACATGGAACAGGATGTATATAAATGTGTAGAGATTAGTCTGAATTCGAGATTGTGGTATATGTGTCTAGAAATGGTGTTCCATAGACTTGTGATTGCGATTGTTTGTTCAGTGCTTATTATTCAGGAATGTGACAGTGGTAAGTTGATGTCATGAGATTCGTTAATTCTTGAAGATGATTTATTGGAGATCACTGTAAGGCGAACGAGGCTAGTCAGTTGATTGTCTAAACCGATTCATTCACTTGTATATTATAACCACTAGGTTTCCCGTGGGTTCCAGTTGGAAAAGTGTGCTTCAGTACCACGTCTCCATTTCACTCTCCACTCTCAAGTCTACTCAACCTGATTCCATCACTCCCAATAAGCTTCTATTCCTTCCTCACAATATCTCCTCCATATAACCATCGCCTCGCCTCGGACACTCAACTCATTCTTTCCCATTCGCCTTCCACACAAAAGACTCACCTGACACATGATGTCTCCGAATGGTCGATCGTCTCAGTGTATGCACAATCCAATCCTTCTCCACTTTATTCTTCCACATATCCACTTGATAACGATAATAGGTTGTTACCTCAATGCTTCATTACCAGACCACAGTTACTCCTCGATTATTCTTATTATTCTCAACATCCATCTCATCTCCATCTTCAGTATGGAGTGAGTGTGAATGTGTGTGTGTTTGTGTGTGGCAGCTGTTCATCAATGTCAGTAGTTTCATCGAAATGCTTTTCGTGATGCATCAAGTCTGTCAACCACAGATGCGAGCAATGAGTTGATTGACATTGATTGTGTTGGGAGTCGGGATGTTGTTCACGCTTTATGCTGAGTGTAGTGTAGTGTAGTGTAGTGTAGTGTAGTTTAGTGTAGTGTAGTGTAGTGTAGTGTAGTGCAGTGCAGTGTAGTGCGCCAGACCTCCACACTGATTTGAGATTGAAGAAGGAGGGTGTGTTTTGCTGTCTTTCCGATGCTGTCTGATTGTGATATGCTCATGTGTGGCTGTG